TATCCTGAACATTCAAGCTGAATTACAGTTTTTTTAAGAAGTACAACCCTTCTTAACAGAACTCCTCAGTGAGTCCAGCAGAGAGCTCATTTTCATTCTTTTGATGCCAGAGACGAGAGGTCTTAGTTGTGAAGCTGACTGAGAACAACGATCTGAACTCGTATTTACGTATCTCATCATGTATCGAAAAGAATCCACTGCAGCAGAGTTCTTGTGCTGTTTCCCAGAGCCACCGGAAATAGTAGCCGTTTTTGTAAGCTGCTTCTGTGACTTGGAACTCATCTGAAGCTGGGACGTACTTTTCCCTTGATTAAGTAACGGGCAACTGTCTACAGAGAATTTAGCTAAAGGCAAGAAGTTCTAATACCAGATGATTGTATCTTTGCCTACCAAGCAAAAGGGGCAGAGGGAACCTTGCAATTTTGTCTGAGTAAAGACAAATACTATATCATCTGCTCGCTCTTCATTTATACAGTTCTGGAGAGACATTCAGGAGTCGCGCCTCTCGACTGTGATGATCTACACAGGCTCTCAGAAGTACAGATGCAGAATTACAAATGAAGCAAGGGACGCTGTTTCTTTCAGGGGATCGGTGACTGAAAAGACAGGGACTGGATCAGGGATGGTATGTTAAAGCTACTCACATTTACTGCTATCTTGGAGTTTTAGACGAAGTGCCAGGAGATTGATGTCCTATAGTTGAACAGCCAAACAGGAAATTTTTTTCCTAGACCACTTGAAAAATCTTCATGCCACTCTTTCTTTATTTTCTGCTTCCTAATACTGTGAGGAACTTGTGGTCAGGGAACTTTTTCTCAATAGTTCAATGAAAGCAAAAAGCCTCAAATAATTTTAGATTTGTGCACTTTTCCCCAATTAAGTTCTTTCAGTGGCTAGAGGGCATAGTCTTTTATTAAGTAAGACACACTTTAAATCTTTTTTCCTACCAGAAGGCAAGTGTTCTCAAAGAAAGAATCCTAGTCTCCAGAGATACCAGAGTAGTTTTCACAGATCTTTGTAAATGAGTAGAAAGTGTCCCTTGGCACATGAATAAGTTGAAATATTTGTAGGAAAACTTGTTTCTCTGAAGCTCTCCATAGGCTGATTAAAAGTTTTTAAGAATCTAGAAACTTCTATGTAACAATTCCGTAATTGGAGAGAATCAGTTATTTACTGGGATGCTAGAAGGTGATCAGAAAAGGCAGAGAAGGAGGATGGAATTTGCAGAAGCAAAGGTATTTAACTGCAGTGAAAGTCACAGCAGCAGGGTTTACAGCACATTAAGTGGGAGCCATGACAATTGCTGAATCATCTAATTAACTCACATTGGCTACATGACAGCAAATTAGACAGATTAGGAACCATCTACCCAGGCACTAAATTGCCTTTGTGAGGGTTGGATTGTGCACTGTGTCCAACAGAAATTGCTTGGGCAACAGAGGCCGCGTGTTACGCATTCCCTTCATGAGTATAGACTGGCCTCCCTCTATCCAAGTGGCACAATGCCCAGGAATAAGGTCACCATGTTCCAACTCCTGAATGTGTGCTTAAGGAAGACAGCAAGCCCTGGCAGAGAGAAGACATGATGGCAGGAAGCATCACGTACCATGCTTTCAGCTAGCCAAGCCCTCCAAACCAATCTGGTTGCCTTAAAACCTTCTCTAGATAGAACATGCCTGGAGAAATCGCGTATGGCTGGCAAAGGAGGATTGAAGCCCTACTTTATTAAATACCTTATTTCTTCAAAATTCACAGTTGCATATCTGGGAAAATGACAACCATTCCAGCTGCCACTCACCCATCGGGAGGAAAAATGCTGAGGTATGGTTAGCAGTACACAGTACTTAAGGGTTTCCATCTGTACAGACTGCTGTTTAAAACTTGAGTTCTTTGACCACTGCAGCTGGTGAAATGGAGGTGCCAACTCCTTGCAGAGCTATGCACTTTTGGAGAGGAGCTACCAGCTGATTTGTATCATATGTATGATAACACCAGGTGTCTCCTGAAGTCATGTGTTGACAAATTTCTAGAAAACACTGCTTCTAGAATGTATGACCTCACAGCGAGGTCATACCAATGCTGCTCTTACACCAATGCTACAACTGTGTAAGAAGCCAACTGGGATTAAATTCTCTGAAGGGGAGATGGGCCAGAGAGAACTGCTGTCCTGCATGGGCACTTCAGACACCAGTCAGACAGTGCAACAGGCTGGTTATACATATGTTTCTCCCTCATGTGGTTGCATGAAACCCAAACTGGTAGAAAGGGAAAAGCAAGTACCTGCCTGATTTTTTATATGCAAGAGCTGCTAAAGGCAAACAAATGCTCTTGTAACATTGCAACAGTCCATATTTTATCCCCGTTCTGTAGCTAGCCTCACTTTCCTCAGGGCTAACCAAGCAGACCACTGAAGCTCGCAGTTGTTCTTCCAAAGTCAATGGTAATGCCATCCACCTCCAATACAGATAACACATTAAACGGGTCAATTCTTTATTGTAAAGCTCTGGCTTCTTTTAATCCTGTAAGTGCCAGACACCATCTCCCAAAATACACAGTCATCTGCTTTGCTAAAACTAGAGTTAAGGTGGGTAGTGTACAGGCACAGATTTTCCCTGGTATCCTATTTATATACGTACTAATCGAAAGGAACTTTTTCAGACTTCTTCTCCATGAACCAGAAATTCAAACTATAAAATAACATTTCTGCTTCACTGGAAAGGTACTACAAGATAGGCGACGCTACTAGCAGCTGCACAAAGCATATGGAACCAGGTTTACATATTTGGCTGTTGGGTATATCCAGAAATACAAAGCTCAGTAGCCATATAATAGACCTCTGATCTCACAGAAAAGGCACTTTAGACCATGCTCCTGTGAGGAGGCTTTTAAAAGGAAACCTGCAAGTGTTATGCAAAAGGAAGGCGTTTCTAGTTCTGCCTTAGCAAAACAGTGCTTGTTGCAACAGTGATCAAGCAGATGTTACCCAAATTACTCATCCGATAATAGCCTGGTGTTTCAGTTAGGTTAAAACCTACTGTTGTAATTTGACTGCTCTCTCAAATGCCAATATATTAGGCACTTAAGGAGCCGACATCTGTGACACTTCAATACATGGGAATGTTTTGCTCAAGTTCCACTGTCAGCGAGACAGGTTCCTAGGCAATCTTGCACCTTAGGATCCTATCACTGATTCCAAGTGGCTGCAAAAAACAGGATTTAGGAGTTTTAAGTACACCGTGTGTTTTGCATGTCAGGAAATGGTGTCTGTCCTACTGAGAAGGGGTGCAGCAAAGGCAAGGGGACAAATTTCGTAAATATGTACTTGCATTATGAACAAAAACGTATTAGAGAAATTTAGTATCTTTTCAGTGACAAAGAGAAGATCCAACAAAGTAAGAATTTAAACCGAAGAGTGGAATGCTTAGGATTGTAAGAGTTAAAAGGGTAACGACAGAAAAATACGGTAATTCACAGTCAAAGCAGTTCCGGTGGAAACCAATACAAATGGATTAAGCTGCCAAGTACAGGGCACAAAGAAACAGATGAAAGAAGAGTCAGCAAGACATTTTATTAATCAGTCCTTGAACTGGACAGTGCTTGTCAGACTGACATCAGTTAAGCCTAGGAAAGGAATACTCAAGAGAAGTTCATTATAATGCACCTTAACATTGCCTTGATGCATATAAAGTGCTGTCTTCCAAAGGAAACGGAGCAGCCTGCTGCCCCGCTATCAGGACTGCTTAGCCTGACAGGCTGAAAGAATGAATTGAATTTTAAGTGAGCTTCAAACCAAGCCCCAGGTTTGCACCTTTAAGATAACAGCAGATGAAAACCTGCACCACCAGATGGGAAGGGCATTCTGATGGCTCATCAATTGCACCTGCAAATGTAATCAAATGGTTATGTGCTGTCATGGGCAAGTCACTGGCACAGTTCCTTAAGTTCATTTCCCCAGGTGCAAATATATAGGCCACTTGCAAGATCAGGTTTCTGCCCACAGTAGCAAAGCTAACAATATTTAACAGCTATTTTTCTCTATCAGCCTATGAATTCTATCCAGACATATCCTGAGTTATGGAGAACCTACACATGCAGTTATTTACTGAATTTGATGTTTTCAATATTTGAAATTAAATACAGTTTATTTTTGCTGTTATATTTTGATGCAAAACAACAAGCTTTGGACCTGATAACACTACTACATATTCCATACCAAGTGTTTTCCTGTTTTACGTCAGTATAAACTGTGATCAGTCAGGGGTTTTTTATGCTTTCATCTAAAATGCTAATACAACATCATCAACTCCCTTTTTTTTTTTTTTTACCATTTTTATAGAAAAAGAGTTGTTTCCAGCAACTTCAAGTTCTGCAAGTACTGCAATTGTGCAGTACTGCACTATGCAACTTTGCATAACGCAAGGTTATATAAAGGCAAATTAAAAAAACCCTAGTATTTTAAAACTACACATATCATGTGCACCACATAGGTCATAATCCAAAACCATTTTAATCCAATTAAAATATTTGTTAAAACATTTACTACAGAACTGAAAAGAATTATTTATGGATGGCTGTATCCTAATTTCTAGCTTTAGAAAACCACAGCTAAGCAAATTATTCATGCAGAGTTAAATCACTGCCTGCCTGCCTTCCTCTCCTCCCACTGCGCCCACAAGAGGAAAGCAAACCTGGCTGCTTCGTGAATTAATTTGGCCTAATGTAATTTGATCTCTGCAGATTTTAACTGTAATATCATCAAAGTCTCATTCCTCATTTGGAGTTTAGCTTTAATAGTTTAGGGAAATAATTTCTCTCTGTATTAGTTAGATAATATCACACATCCCACTTCTCATTTTTATTCCACGTACCTAAAACCATGGGATGGCTTTGGTACCTGCCCAAATGTTTTCCACAGGTATGCAAGAAATGCAGTGCCTGACACACAGCAGTATCAATACAGCTTTTTATGCTACACAAGAGAAGAATATTTGAAGAACAGTCTGTTGATAAAACCAAACAATTTCTTAGAAGTGTTAAGTAATACTTTCTTTTTTAACTGAAACTGGAGTATTTGAAGTGGCCTTGGAAAATAGAAAGTTGGAATTCAGACCTACATATTACCTGTTTAAACATTTAGTTAAACAAGACATAATAAAAAAGTGCCATATACAAGATTGTCACAGGTATATGAGATTTTTAGAAAAAAAGCAATAAAAATATTCTTTAAGCTGAAAATAAATTCTCTTACCTTTTATATCACGATCTCAGCTTACAGTCACTACATTTCTGCTTATTTTATACAAGTGCATATGGCTATGAAGGTCCGGAGAGAATGAGAATAAAGTGGTATTAACCTGCTGAAAACTGCTTAAAAGTCTTAAGCTGCAACATATAGATGTTCCAATACCATTTTAAAAAACATTTACCTTTCAGTTATTGCTGATTCACAATCTCAAAATATCAACATACAAATATTTAAGAGGAAAAAAACTCAGTAAATTTAGAGCAGCAAAGTTTTTTGAACTGGATGTTTACCAAACACTGTGTTTTCCTATCATTTGGTGATGATTTTGAGACACAAAAGCAATCCATTTGAAAGTCAAGTTCAGGCCTACCCTTTCTGTGCCTCATATTAAATGATGTGGGGAAGAGAGAGAGAGAGAATATATCATTTAGTTAGATTTTGGAAAAAATATATAGTCTATTTTCTTCTTCTGCCTTTTTGCTACATTTCATGTCTGCTGACATGCACAATGGTACAAAGCACTACTGCTCCAAGAGTGACCATTGCAAGTCTTTGTAGCAATTTTTATAGGAAGCATGCAAATACAGTCATAATATTAAAATTCTGAAGTACTTAAGTAGTGAAAGTAAATGCAGGATTCACTGCTTAAAGCAGGCACTCTGCTAGGTTTTGTGTCTTGTTTTGGTGTTTGGTTCCCCTCCCCCCCAACACACCAGTCTTCCCCTTCTAGCGTAAAGAAATAACCAGAAGTATATACACATCTATTGCTATGTACCCAAAGAAAGGACTGTGGCTTGGAGTAAGTATTGCTTTTCATTAAATGGAACAAAGTTCAAGAAGTGAGAAAAACACTTTAAAAAAAAAAAAAAAAGGAAAAAAGCTCAGATTCCATGTCTGAAGTTGAGAAACCTCAAAACGAGCCACGTTTGTTCTTGCTTTTAAGACATGTACAAAATGCCATTTCGAGCCACACAACCTGATGGTTCTAGAAGTCAGAGAAGAAATCTTGAGGGCCCAAGTGAATAATAAAAGGTGCGATGCTGAGAGGCTGGCAATAGGGACTGTCAATGAAAAAACCACCTACAGTGGGAAAAGAGCAGAGAAGCAAAAACTTCACGTTAATTTCAGAGAGAGTGGCTGAAGCTAAAGCTCCATTTAAATTTCTCTGCTCTTTCAGCTGCAAGTGGAATTTTCATTGTAAAATGGGCACTTTTAATTCTTTGAAGGTATTGAAACATCTAACACTTCCAAGGTTACCACTTTCTAAACAAAGAACTGACAGCTCATTCATATTTTCAGTAAAGCAGAGAAATGTAAAATATGCAGCAAGGGGGCAACTTTACAATGTGGTTAGTAACTCCCAACAAATGACAAAAAAATAAAAAAATGACTTCTATAAATCATCTGAAATGACTGCCATCATGTTGGAAAAGAGCATAGCACCCTCCTTGTTTTTGAAATAAGAACAAGTTATTTGGCTTACGAATGTTCATTGTACAGAATTCGTTCAGAGAGTATTTTGTTTGAAATTTTACAAAGCTGGGGATTAAAAAAAAAAAACCCAAAAAACTACAAACAGTTGCCAATCAGGGGAACTCCAAAAGAGAAGGGGGGGGGGGAATTGTGTGTAGAGGAAAGATTCCTTTAATGAATATTTGATTAACAAAAATGGGCTCTTATCAGCCATGCTTTTTCTGCTCCGTGATGGCTTCCTTTCATCCATAGGCCAGCAAAGTATATCAGCGATTTACGAGCACCACTCAATTTGACTACATCCCCGAGACCCTGCTCTTCATTTCAACACAAGGCATGGATGACAACAGCAGGCTCACCACGACTTGTCAATAGATCTACGTTTTTTATTAAAGTACCACCAACACCAAACAAAGGTGAGAGCTACGGCAGAAGAAGAACCATTTAAGATATAAACATGTTCCTAAGCACAAATACTTAGCTTAAGAATAACAGCTGCAGTTAATTCCAAGAAAAGCAGCTTGTTATATAAGCCACCCCTTATCATGCTTTTCTAATATT